TTTGTAAATAATTTACTTTGTGTAGTTTTACTTTTTGTGAACTAAGGCCTTGTGCCCCTGGATTTGAAAAGTAAAGTATTTTACCCTTCAATATTCCATAACCAAATTAACATTCTCCAAGACCAAAGGCCAGTCGTACCTTCCCGTCACTTGTCCCTCTTTCTTCTACTTTGAATTTTAGCTTACATCTTTTAATTTTTGCCATGTACGTCAGCAATGAACAAAAAAGAGAAATAGTTGGTGTGGGCAGCCTCAATGATGTAAAAGCTATGATTACCACAAAAGCTGTAATCGGACCTGTCAAAGCTCACCGGCAGCAGCAGGTGAACAGGACCTTTGTCATGGTGGTCACGAATTCACAATACCACCTTCCGTCTCTCCGCCCCGCTCCATTCCAACATGGAGATCAAGATTGATGTTTAGGTCCAAATTAGCATCTGCTTCTGTATGCACGCTGCCAGCCTGTCCATTCCTAGCCCTACAATCACTTAACAGACATGACAGGCCTTGTCCAATCGCATTACGGCCAGGGGACAGGCTTCCTGTGTGGGGATATGGCTTCATTCAGATTCATAGAAGTGCTGGATCTGCTTCTCAAACACCTGTAGAAAAATAGGTCACCAAATTAAAAATACCACCCAAACGTCCATGGTAAAATGATGCCGTTGGGGTCAGACTAATTGATGAGCGGTATCATGATAAAGCTGCTGATGATGTTGATGATGCACTTAAACCTAAGTAAATAAAGTAAGTACCTTGAAAAAATAATGAAAAATATCAATTCTAAAGGTGCTCCCATGCATAAGGATGTGATTGTCCCGTTGTTAATTTCCATTGACAAGTTTTGGAAGGTTGAGTATGGGCCAAGAAGGAAGCATTCATTTTGTTTGGGATCCTTTTAATTCCTGAAGTCTAGTAAGAAAGAAGCTCAATTGGATTTACACAGACTTCTGGGTCTTGGCAGAGACCAGTTGTATTGAATGCTGTTTCAGTTGCACAATGAGCCCCTTTCTATTACTGCAACTAATAAAACTGTTTTGAGTACTGAAAGGTGATTAGTATCCTTACTCTGATGTTCTTTGTTAGCCATATTAGCATTGGCTTCGTGTTTTAATATAATTCAGTTCATCTGTTTCCAGGTTGTCTGCAAGCTTTCTTTAAAATGTTCTGATTGGTCTATGCAGTTCTGCCTGCAAATAGAATAGACCAATCAGAACATTTAAATTGCTTTATGGTGTTTCCTTTGTTTTGTATACATTTTTGTTGAGTAAATGTATGGCATATGATGCGGTAATTCTTAGTAGTTTACACAAATCAGAAATCCTTGATCCTTCTCTTCTTACTCAGTGACATTCTACAGTAGTTCCAACTTGTAGCGCAAGGTGATTTTCTAATGCAATAATAAAAAAAACAGTGTCTTCACTCTTACAGCCCAGTGTCTGGGTAACTCCTCTCTTTCACCACTTGTCAAGTGTCTGCAGCAGCTTTTTCACCTGGAGCTGTGGGAAACACTGAACTCAGCTGGGTTCCAAATACCTAAGCCTGATTTGGCATCTCTTTCAAACTCCCAGGATGCAGTGGTTCTGATGGACAGCTCCTTGTAGAAGGTGCCCTCTACATCTTCCTACAGCTGACAGTTGGACATCAGCAGAAAGAACAGTGTGAACTTGACTCAGAGGCAGGTGGCAGTAACAGAAGTAAATAACTCTCTGAACCAACACTCTAAGACGTTTTGAACACATTTAATGGTACAGAAATAAAGTATGGCCAAGTCAGTTGCATTGCATTGATACATTTGTCCTCTTACTGTTCTTTGTGACCATAAAGTTTCTATTGAGTTTTTATTATTTTTAGCTCAGTCATCGTTTCTGCTTCTCCTATTAAAAGGTGTATTCATCAATTCTGTGCAATTCAAGTTTCTCCGAATTAAATTGAAGGTCACAGGGAACGTAACAGTATATGACGTAACATGTGGGAAATGCGTTGCTGTCATCTTTTTGTTTTTCCCTCTAGCTTTGCTTTTCACTTGCAGACGCAGATGCTATTTTTATATACGTCAACCATAAAAAATGTCTGGAGAAAAAAAAATCAATGTAAACATGTGGAAAATCATTCCAGGGTAACTCTATCAGTGTTCACAGACAGTACTTATCAGTGATCATGTAAGCAGTTTGATTGCAGTTTTTAAAAGTGTAAATGTCTCATGGCATCTGGACATGAAATGAAACAGAGATGAAGAGAAGTAGTAATGAATGAAAATAATTCTTTGATAATACGAGTATTATTTGCTTTTTATTTGCTTCCCTTCTCTATGTGATTTTGTGTGCGTGTGTGTGTCTGTGTGTGTGCATGTGTCCCAGTGAGTGCTGCGTGCGTGCATCAAAGCTCAACCGTCATACAGCAGTCTTCTCTTCTGTTCTGTTCCATTTTTATCACTGACTTTTTCCACCAGCTCCCCAGCCTCCTGCCTTTACTCTTCGTGTGTCGTACTATTTTCCTTGTTTTGTACTTCCACTGCATCCTGCCTTCAACAAACAACTACAGTAGTCATGGTATGACGATTCTGGGACAGAGACAAACTGAAAGTTACAGTCTGATATCACATTGCAGAACATTGAAATGTCAGTGCTAACTCATCACTCTGCACTGCACTGTAGCTGCAGCCGGCGGAGCTCCTGTTATGTTGAAACTCTAACCTCAAACCTACTGTCCTGACTTCTATCTTTAGGATTAAATGATCATCCCATGGTTAGCATTGCTGCCGAAATAAAACTAGAGAGAATTTTAGAGGACACAATTAGCACCCAGAGGCTCCCCCTTGGATTACACTTTAAGAAACTGTAACAAAAACTACTTGTAATGCAACTTAACCAAGACTGTAACAAAGAAAGGGAAACTGCAGATTTAAGGTCCAAAAAAAATCTTTAGTCAATATTATGTGAGAATCGTGCACTATTTTTGGCCCTGCCCCTTTAATCACTTCACCACTGTTTCACACTGTTGGCTTGTCGCCTGCCGGTGCATCTTCCAGGGCTGCAGTGCTCATTAGTACCTGTGCTGACATGACTGGCATCTCATTCGGGGGTATTTTCCCCCTGTCTCTTGCATTGTTTTTTTATTTTTACATCTCTCAGCAGCTTTTTTTGTACTCCCACTGTTTGAATGTCCTGGTTATTTCTACAGTTTCCATTCCTCATCGTCATTCCCTTCCCTCTCTCCTCGTCGTTATCTCCCTTTCACTCCCAGGGGATTTTAATTAATGGTGAGCCGTGATGCTTATCTTATCAACAGATCACTCAGCTTTCTATTAACGACTCTGCCAGAGCTGGGAGGCTAGAGGCTGTTACAAAGACACACACTTAAACACAAATACTTTATGGCCATGGACTTTTAGATACATCCATTCATACTTTAAAGCAGTGTTTCTTAACCACTGTACTGCGGCACATTAGGTGTACCACAAGAGATCATCAGATGAACTTGTGAATTATCTAATTTGACTTAATCTGTCTGAAAATTGCAGAAAATGTGAATACTCATCCACTAGGGGACAGTATATATGTCAACAAAGGAAGGTACTTAGAGCATTTGAAGAAGATATTTGTATTGAGTCTTTCTTCAATTCCTGTCAACATATCAACAAGAACATAATATTTCATTACATATGACTCACATGACATTATTGTTTATAGCTGTGCATTAGGACTTTTCAGTGTCAGAAAATTAGGGTCAGAAAAACTAGTATAAAGAAGGAATTATAGCTAAAATTCCTTAAAAAAAATTTAAAACAGAAAATTAGATGCAGTAGAGGGAACTTTTGACGATTTCTCTTCTTGAACTAAACTCATATTTGTCCTTAAACCAGAAGAAATTGTGGCTAAATTTCTTGTTGTTGATCTTAGACCCTGCAAAGAGACACAGACTCAATGGCATTGATTGCAGCCTGATCCCTGTAGATTTAGCTTTGTTGCCCCTGGCATAATAAATGTGCCTTTGTTTGTTTGCCCTTCTGGGTTTCGATTTTGAATGAAACCTTACTTACTTGCTAGTATGTGTCTTCTGAGGTTACCCACTGACATCAAAATTCACATTGAGTCATCATTTTGGGTCGTTGATGTCATCAAATGTACAGTTTCCAGAAAAGGTTCAAATCATGGTTCGAGCTCAAGAACTACTGACACACACACACACAAATAGGCAAACATGAACTGGGGCAGTTGCATTCACATAACTCCACATAGTGATCCTATCTTAATCTTGCTGCAGACTCACAAAAACAATCATTCTGCCCTGATGCTATCTAGTCATGTGATTTAGGTACCGATATTTGAGGGTCTCTCCTTCTAAATCCACTAAATGCCTGGGGAATCCCTTCTGTCCTCTGCCTCTCTCTCCCCTACACCGGCGTACTGACTTGAATGAACACTTATCATGGGGCAGATAAAGAGAAGTCCAGGCTGTAGTTTGCTTTATCTTTAAGAGCCATGTTAACTCTCCTGTGAATGGATTGCCTTTCAGAGATGTTCCATGGGCCACGCTGGCTAGATCTGACAGAGATGAGTGTGTGATGTCATGGCACACACACACACACACATACACATACTGACTTATAAAACTAGACTATTAATACCAGGCAGGCAGCTATTTTTGTTTTAATAAACACATTTATGTATGTTCTGCTTCTGGTAGGAGGGAAATTAAATCAACACATTGCATGGTAGAATTTAAGCATCAGAATTGTGGCATTAACTTACTTAAAAAAATCTGTAAAATACAACTGTTGATAGGAGAGACCTCAATACATAAATCTTTAAACCAAAAGCTGACAGTTTATCTGAAGCTCATCAGTGATGCCTTGAGAAAACTTCACTACTCAAGCTCTTGTTATGTCTTAAATTAATTGATGTATTTATTCATCTTTAGTGCTTGAGCTACTAGGAGAAAATACTGGAGCAGTACTCTGAGTTCCTGTGTGTGTGTTTGTGTCTGTCTCTCTGCAGGGAATTTGGGTGGAGAGATCCAGAGCTGCCAGAGGTGATCCAGATGCTACAGCATCAGTTCCCCTCAGTGCAGTCCAACGCAGCAGCCTACCTACAGCATCTCTGCTTTGGAGACAACAAGATCAAAGCTGAGGTTTGTGTCAATAATGTGCCTGTGAGTGTGGGGTAATGAAGAAGGGGTTGAAAGTTTAGATAGCAAAGTAAACCTTAACACAGACACGCGCACACACATGCACACACACAAACATATGTGAGTACACAGAAAGGTCAGGCATCAAGCCACAATCTGCACGCCTGCTGAGGATTGCACAGAATTGCAGGGTGTATAAACTACAGATGTTATAACTAGTTCTACTTGCCTCCTGAGAACTGTAAAAAACCTGTGTGGCTGACATACTCTGCAGGATTTCTGTTGTAAAAAGAAACAAGAGAAATAACAAAATACAAATTGGATCTTTTTTATATGAATCTTTGAAGAAAAATGTAATCGGGAACTCGGGTTACAATAATTAAGATTTATATCAGTCCAAATTCTGTATTTTCAATCTGAATTCTTGTCGATGTCTCTGTTTTAAACCACTGAACACACCTTTACTTAAGTATCGATAAAAGCTTGGTGGTATTTGTTAATAAGTTCATTGTACATGTCTATGTGGTTTTGGCCAAATTTTTAAAACAAATACATTTGTATCACTTTTAAATCACAAGGTTTGACATCTGTTATTGTCATATTTTTTATTTTATTTTGAATGACAGTAAACGGTGCCGTACAATACAATTTAATCATAAAATCTGTTTCCCTCATAAAATTAACAACACATTCCTTTAGAATTAGTATGACTGAACCCTTGTTAGTTCACTCATAAAGCTTCTTCTCCAATGTCATTGATACATTTAGCCAATTTATCCACAGGAATACATCAATAAAAAAATCAGTTAAAAATCCTCAGTAAGTACAATGAAAGAGCCATTGTCACAACTGACTTCTAATGTAAGCAATTACAAAGGTGTAAACAACAAGACACTGCTCATTTTTCTATTTACAATGCAGCACTGGCCCACCCACGTATGCACACATATACAGAAAAAGAAAATCTATTCACTTGCACATTAAAAACATCAGACAACATCCCACTCCCACATCCACACTGCTGCGAAAAAACCCTTAGTGTTCATGTCTTTTTATAATGGATGTAATTACTGCATGAATGGAAGTGTTGCACAATAGAGAAAATAGCATGTGTGTGCTGTCAGTAGATGCTCTGGCCCGCATTCATCAGGCTGTTTGATTGTCTCGCTCAGGGCCCAGGGCATTGCTAAACACTGTTTACACAAATTAAATTGGGAAGAGTTTTCAAACCGGCCAAAACCGACGCTTCACATCAGATCAATTAAAAACAGGCGTTTGCGAACAGAATTCAAACACCTAAATACCTGCGCTGAGAGTGACAAAATGTTCCCTGTCTGTTGAGATGAATCTGAGCTCACACTTTTATTTGTAAAAAAGTGATGTTAAAACAAAAGAAAGAATGAAAAACATGTAACAGCTACGGAATGTTACCTTGGATTAAAATCTTGTTTGATATTGACACTGACGGTATGCGTGCATCACAGGATGATTAATACATTTTTTGTATAGAATGAACATTAGTAATAATATTATTATTAGTTTTAATCCTATTAAAATAAAGGTTTAAACCAGCACCTTTAACTTTAGGGATGAAGACTACATGTTTGATCACTATGCAGCTATGGATGACCATCATCAGTGGAGTAGTTCGGGGGTCTGAAACCTTCAACACCAAAAGATACATTTTTATCACTTTATTGAATGCTAAATGCTAATTTTTGTGCTGTTTTACGGTAAACTGTTATACTGCAGGAAGAACACAAGATGCAACTAAAATTTGCTTAATCCTGATAAAAACACTATTTGACAGACAAAGACAAGCGAGTGGCTGCAGACTTTGAACTGTTATCTATTGATTATAGTGGCTGATAGGATGTATTTGTCATTATTTTTGTTTTGTTTGAAAAACACAGTTTATTTGCACAATGTCATCCTAGATGTAGCCAATCAAAATAATCTGATGTGCTGAATATGGCTCAGGGGCTACAGGTTGCACACCTTTGATGTACTCTAGGAAAAAGCATGATACTAGTACTTACAGTAGGGCAAAGCAGCAGAAGTAACACACACACACACAGCTGCAAATCACACAGCAGCGTTAGCTGTCATTCGCATATAACAGTTACTCCTGATGCAAGAGGTCCATCATCTCACCCCTGCCTTTAATACTATCACTCAAGATGTCACCGCACAGCAGACATTGAGTTGCTCAGGCCGGGGGGAAGTGTCCCCTGTGACTGTCCCCCACTTCATCCTGCTATTCCAGATTAGGTGACAAAAATAAAGTCTGACCGTTTTAATGAAGTTCACTGAAACATCATTATTGCGACAGTTTGTCTTTGGGTGGCAGCTGATGTGCACATCCGTCCCTGCCCAGTCACGTCAACTGAAGGTGAATGTGAAGTCTGACCTCTGACAGAGAAGTCCCCTTAAGGTGGTCTGCAGAATTGCTCACACCTCACGACAGTCCCCAGGTCAATCACATCAGGAATGCATTTGCAGTAGCAACCCTGTCAATATCCATTTATCCAGCCCACCAGTTCAGCTCAGGGGAAATGTCCCAGGAGGGGTTTGCACTCCTTTTGTCACTCTCTTTTCTCGCTTCATATATTACTGAATGCCTCTCACACTTTTTCTAAAACCTGTTAACTCGTTTTTGTTTGTTTTTTTTCAAAAGTAGTAGCCATGTGCATAATGGAAAAATCCACTTTAGCACTGGAGACTGGATCAGAACCCTTATGTTTTTAATTAGAGCTCTTGCTCTTTACTACAATGAAAAGATGTGGTAGATTGATGTTGATATCTGTAAAAAAAACATCAGCTGGGAAGATAAAAAAGACACTGTAAAAAAAGCAAAGACACAGCAGCTGCAGCAGCGTGTATTAGACTGAGAGTCTCCTCTTTTACAGCGTCCTTTTTTTAAAATGTATTTATTTTAGTAGATTGAATACTTATTCAGTGACTGTATTTTAATTGCTGTTTTATTTTATAATGAATAGGCTTAAAAAAAATTAGCTATCCAAAATTCAAAGACAGTCTGTCATGGGGATTTTGGTTTTTCTTTGGCAGAAAGACTGTAAAATTGGACAGCATTTTGCTTTTTTTTTTACTGAACTGACCTCATCTACAAAGGTCAGGAACGGTTGACATTATAACCATGTCAGTTTGATTTTTCCATTGACAAACCACGTATATGATTTATCCTTCAGTAAACATAGATTTAAAACATAAAGCCTCCGTGGCACTCCAATGACACTGTGACTGTTGGATAAATGGTGATTTAGCCTCTTCTCTCTTAGCCTGACTTAACACTAAAATGCCCCACATATTTAAATATTTAGTTTTTCCATTACTGTTGGCTGACATGTGGAAATACTGTGGCCAGCTTGTGGCCCAGATCTGGCAGACAGGAGCGGGCCACCCCAGTGCAAATTATTCCAGACCATATGTGGCCTCTGTGAAAGTGTCATATGTGCTGGATATGAGGTGGATCTGGGTCAACTTTATTGTGCTCCTGGGATCTGCTTCTGTTACAGTGAAAGGTATAATGATGAACCAAGTTCATACTTTGGTGGTAAATACATGAGGCATCACTGTTCTTGTGTCATCTGTTGACATAAAATAGCTCAGTAACATAAATATATGCACAAGCACACTTTGGGCTTTAAATGCCTTTTTTGAATCTCCTGCTGTGAACTATGACAGTTTGTGTTTCTTGACCTAGTCTGAAAAATACAGCTTAGAGCCTCAAGTGTATTTGTCATGGTGGATTGTCCCCCGCTGGGAATTTTACACTTTAAACTACAGAAAAATAAGCAGTACCTCTGCCTTGAGTAAAAAAAAAATATTTGGTTGCCACAGGTCAAAGTCATTTTTGGCTGGAGTTTTACTGTAATGTTCCAGAGGGAATTGTTGGCCTAGAGCATGAATACAATTGGCCGTAGGTTTAAGGTCTGGGTGAGAGGCGTGAGAGGGGTGAAGACCAATTCACGTGTAAGCGCCTGCTGTGAAACAGACTTATGTGAAAGATGTCAACCCACTTTTATGGGAGCGGTTAGCCTGCACCCCGCTGATTACTGTTGACGTTACACTCGCGGTGACTCACACAGACTTGTTAGGCTTCACATGTTTCCATCCCAGGTACGTGTCACTGGTGTATCCCCGTCGCCAGCTCTTACGCAGACAGCACGTCCGAGTCCCACAATCCTAGTTGTCACCATTGCTTAATGTTACCACAGTTGCGCCGTCGCTATGGGTTACCAATCGCAGAGGTCGTCTAGGAACAGCGGGAGACAAAGACAAATCAATCTGCCTTTCTAATCTTCTTTACGTGGAGTAAAGGAATAGGCATAAAAGTATTGGCAAGCCTCGTAGGTAGCTCTGAGGCAACGCTGAGAAACAGCACCACGGCTTTTATAGTAAAACAAATGAATCCTAGGGTTGAGGAAGGGGAGAGGAGAAAAGAAAAGTAAATGAAAGGAGATGGAAGGAGATCAGTAGTGGAGGGTATAAGAGGACAACAAATCAGGCTGTGGCTAAATCTACAAGGTTACATTTCATTGGCACAGCTAATATTTTTAATTGAATGAATGAACAAAGTCATTTCTTACCTGATGAATTTCAAGTGTCTTAAAACATCGTCATCCTCCTCCTGTCCTCCAATGTTTCTCGTGCGGTTTTTGTCCTCTCCGTTCTTTTCCGGTTGTCACTCCCTACACCCACTTCACATCTTCTACTTTGATTCCGTGGCAGCACTTTACAACTGTCCTTGTAGCATTTCTTTAGAAGCGTTCTGAGGTGGAAGCAGGAGGTTATTGACTATTGATGTTGTTTAAACTTTAGAAGTTAAAACTAAACCTGCAGTATTTAATTTATTTTTTTCCTTCTGTGGCAGTTATCTGGTTCAGTGACGCTGTCTAAGGGAGTCTTTCTCACTTGTGCACACACACACACTGCACACCCACACACACATACCTACTGTACAGCAGTTGGTCTGTTTCCCCCCGGCCTCCTGGTGATCACAGCAGCTTGTTCCTGGTGATTAGTTCCCTGTAGACTGGACTAAACGCAGCGTCCATTGAACTCCTCGCCCCCTAGGGTTGATAAAGACTCCTGCAGTGAACCTGCACAAGATCAGAGAAAAAACATTATATTTTACCATGAGGTTTGGTAAATAAAAAAAAATAAATGTCAGGCTGAAAATATTCTTGTCATTGCTGCTGCTGACTGATATTTGGTCTGACTGTATGGTTCTCCTGGATGCATTTTCTTAGTGAACAAGTGACAAATGATTCAAATGTTTAATTCAGATCATGTACACAAATAATCATGATTATAAGTGACAATTAATCATGATTAGTTTTGATTGTAATTCTTCTGCATGAATCAGAATGGAGTTATCAATGCTAAACTTCTACATAGGCTACATTTAATTTTGGTTTTTTTTTGTTTGTTTTTTTAATAAAATGCTGCGAAGTTAAAAGTGGCTAACATCTTTTTCTGATTGGACCGTGTAGCCATTAATATCATCCAGGATCTGTCATCTAATTTTGAGCTGTGGACTAAGAGGCAGCGCAGTTGATGACATGAACAAAAACAGTTGATTTATGTGGGATTATAAGCAGGCCTCGTTCCACTGCTCTTTTTCCCTTCATCAGTGTAATTAAGTGTCATTTTCTGAAAGCACATTCATTAGCTGAGTCGTAGTGTATTTAATTACCACATATCAGGCTATTAATCTGATTGGTAGGACCTCTAGATACTGTCAGACACACACACACACACACACATTTATACCAGACAGGGAATACACACAAAATAGTCTGGATTCTGACAAATCTGTTTTGGACCGCGATCATTTCAGTTGTCATCTGTAATTTCTGATGGTTTAATGTTGTATCTTTGGTAAAAAAATTGCTCTGATTTATCTGCAGATTCGTCGACAAGGAGGGATTCAGCTGCTGGTCGACCTACTAGATCACAGGATGAGTGAAGTTCACCGCAGCGCCTGCGGGGCGCTAAGGAATTTGGTATACGGCAAAGCCAATGACGAGAATAAAGTCACTCTGAAGAACTGCGGGGGAATTCCGGCCTTGGTGCGCCTGCTGCGGAAGACCGGAGACGTGGAAGTCAGAGAGCTGGTCACAGGTGAGGTCTTTTTTTGGGAGCACATTAACTCCCTGCTACAGGAGGCATAAGATTTCCACAGATCCTTTCAGATAAATATAGTTTAAAACAAAACTCACCGTTTTAAATGTATTGCATTTCAAGCGGGCACCTAACATTCCTACATTTTCGTCATACAGAGAGTTATTGTTATCCTTCTTTTTTGTGCGATCTTTTGATCGTGTGCCTGACATTGTCTCGCAGTGTATGAGTTTTTAACATGATCCAACTTTTAAACCTTCATATCGGGCTGCCATTCGCTCAGCACTAAAGGGAGGCTGTGTGGCTCTAGTCCTTTCATTAAACAAACAATGAGAATTTTCACTTGATGGATTTTACAGCGTAATAACAGCTTAGTACTGTGAGACAGGACGTGTAAAACAATGCAGGGAGACATGTTTTTTTTTCTCCTTTTCAGATTAAGCTGTTACAAAGCAAACATTATGTTAGTGATGTTTTTCAGTATTTCAGTATTCAGTATTTGTATGTGTTCTTAAAGTCATTAGTGTTAATGGCAAAAAGAATAGGCACCTATACCAGCAGAAATGGGAATATAACTCAAGGAAAGTACCCGAGTACTGCAGGCACTCATGCAAACGAGCAGGTGTGGAGTGCATAATGTTTCTGTTGATTCACACTCTTTAGGTGCAAGATAAACAGGTTTTACACCCGTGTAAACATAACTACAGTTTGACCTCCATTTCTGCTGAAACAATCTCGGTATGAATACAGAATGGCACGACAGGCCCCCTGGTGTTGATAAAAAGATTAATACATGCACCAATGCACTTTTTTTGCCTCACGCACATCAATATGGCCACACACACCTCAACCCTGTGCTGCATGTAATCTAATGTGCAGCTAGTTATTTTCCACTGTTGGTTCTACAGCCCGAGGTCAGGTAATAATGATGAAGTGTTATGCGGGCACGGGACCTCTCGTGTGTGTTTCTGTGTGTGTGTGTATGTGGCTCAGGATTGTGACACATATGCTCATGAATTTCACCAGCTAATGGGTGTCTCGCACATAAGCAGTGGTCAGGCTAAAACAAGAGTTGTATATGAAATGTGTGAGCTGTGATAAACGGGGCAGGTGAACCGTCAGCAGTCCAAGACCTGCTCCAATGAGTGGTTCTCCCTGGCAGCTTAGGAGAGTGTAGTTGGACTTGTATGACAGAACATAAGAAATCCAATTCTTTTCTTTCAACCTCTCTGCTGCTTCTTTGTCATGTCGTTGGTCCTACTCCACTTCTGTCCTCTGCGTATATCTGTCTGACATACCCTCTCTCTTTTTCACGCACTTTTCTGTATTTTTTTTTAAAATATCCATTCTGGTATTTCATGCTTTCCATTGACTCTTGCATTACACTCTGGTGGGCCAGTATCTGCACTTGTTTCACCATTGTTTCTTTTTTTTTTTTTTTGCTGTCATGAAAGCACTCTTTGTTGGACCAGGTGAGGCCTAAGATAAGAGCGATGTGTTCAGGTTCGATCAAGAGGAGCGGATGTTTTTGAAGATAAAGTACAAACACAATAATTTATGTACACATGACCAGATATAGATCCCTAATGATACACAAACAATTATTTACATACTAAAATATGCAAGGTATGTGCTCATACATTGAAGAGATACGTACATCAGGCTAATGTCTGACCTCTAATGATGTTTTTCTTCAAAAAGGATCAAATTAGTTCATTAAATAAATAAATGTTAAGTTATAAATAAAAAAAGATGCAGATAACTCATTGAAAAGTTAAGTTGCCCCAAAGAGACCATTAGATTGGATTATATTTTTTATCTGATTAATCACATGGTAGATTAATCGTGATTGGTCACTGACACACAATTGGTAACTGAAACCCAGTTGAATTGAATTGAATTGAGTTGATTGAGAGTCTAAAATTCCATTCCATTGAACATTTCAGTCTTTCATTTTTCCCTATAGCTTTATACAGAATCCAAAACAAATATAGTTGTTTTAAAACTACTTTAAATAAAATATAAAGATAAAATGTCAGACATTGGAATGCAGGTCAAGAGAAAGGGAGTAAGAATAAATGGTTAGTGAAGAAATGCAAAATCTAATCGGGTTAAAAAGATAAAAGTGATGAAATGTGACAGATTAAATAATTGCATAGGAGAGAAACTAATAAGTAAGAATGAAAAGAACTTCAACAGACATGATTTAAACCTAATTATTTTCTCTCTCTCTCTGAACAGCCTCCTGCTGCTCTGTTAAAATTCCATTTCACAGAGAGTATTTGTTAGAAGTTACCCACTAGCAACGATGTCTGTGCTCACACACATGGGGACAGGTTGACATCTTTATGTTTATTAGTAACAGGATTTAACCATTATTCACTGGACACAAAGTTCAAGTTTGGAAAGTGTCTGTAAGCAGGAGAGAAAGTCAGAATCCATTTTTTTGCTGCATCATATTTTTAGTGCCAGCATTAGTTTAACTTAGCCATTACAATAAAATATGCTCACACATACTGTTCCTCCTGCCTTTGGCTTCACTCTGAAGTGCATTTGCTTTCCCCTGCTGCTGAGTAAATGAGTGTAACACACGACTGTGGCCTGATGTCTGTTCATTCTGCTTCGGATGTTAGTACAACACCACATGTTCATCTTCATTTGTGTTGTAGAAAATGAAATATAACCTTAATTTTATACATAATATATTTATTAATTACATTGACTATTATAGGATCAAGACAATACTTTTTGTATTTTTGTGTTTTTTAATTATCATGATCTGTAGCTGCATTGACAGCAGAAAGTACAAAATCCACTGTGGAACTGATTTCATTTGAAAAGCCCATTTGACAATAGGGGATTTGAGCTTGAGAAAATATTGATGTGGCTTCAAATTTTTAAGGCATGACAGTTCATGATGTGAGATTTTATTAAAGCCTGCAGTGGTGATCCTTTAAACGTGCTCCTACTGGGTGATTGTGTGTAAATGTCTTCCCTTCAGAGCAGAACTGAAATGCCTTTACTACCAAGTGTTATAAGAAAAAGAACTTGTTAGCTCCTCTGGGCTGATGTGTACCAGGAAGCTGTCAGACCTATTGATTTGCCAAATTACATTCTACTCAAGACCCGATCTTTATTACTAATTGACTTGGATGATTTCAGGGCAAGCAAACAGCAGTTGGAGACCAGCGGGCATCACTGAGGGGCAGCGCTGCACACTCAAATGCTATAACGCTAATTGCTAAAGACGTAACAACGGCTACAGCGTTGAGTAGTGGGATTTTCTGCCTGTCATGCTGAAGGTTCTGGATGTGACTCCACCTAGAATTTGATTCAAGGTTGAATTGTTTCTCAACAAAAGTGATTCTCTAAAGACGTCATGATGGGGTGATGCTCATTGTCTGTTGTCCTCTTTGCATCTATGTGTGGTTTTTTTTTCCTTAATCAGGAAAACGTTCATTGACAATTTAATCAGGTCAGTTCTTTGGTTTAAAGTTACTCCAGCTTTATCAGCTTGCTGGCTTCAAAAGAAGGCAGATAGGAAAAGTCAAAGCTTCTGGACCTGTCAGTCAAAGTCTAGTCAATGCTAAGGCTTTAGGTGTCAGTCGAAAATACAATCCTTTCTGCTGGACTCACCTTGAAGCACTGGCCCGTGGAAGAACATTATTCTTTCTCCAGCTGCTGCTCGGAAAGTGGTGACCCCACCGCAAGGCTACTCTTTAGGAATATACATGGAAAAGGAACAACTTTTATAAAACAGACGGATCTTTACGTACTGGTTGATTTAGTGAGTTCAATGAGAATGGAAAGAACTGTTAAACTCTAAATAGATTTAGCAGTATTTGTGATAGCACAGTGCTCTTGGGAGAGGGCCCAAAAGCACTGTGATATTTTTGTGATTTTAGCAACATACTGAAATAACGTTGCTCTTAAAGAAAGATATTTTATTTGTTTATTTATTACTTCTTTCTCTAAGATGTGAGCCGAGTTTACCACATTTTTGTACCTTAGCTGTTCTTTTACATCATATTTGCAAAAGGTCTTGTATATCTTTTGTATTTTTTTTTTTTTTTTCAGACTGCCGGTTCATTTAAAGTCTTATCAAAAAATTCCCTTTGAGCCAACATGACTCTGCACCTCTGCCATGACACCTTTCTGCTGCTGCTGTTATAAAACTGTGTCATAGAAGGAAAAAAATACTGCAGCAGTTTCACTGTGGGAAGCCCTGATGGGAATGAAAACCCACAGAACAGGCACAGTACATGACTTAACCTACTGCTGACAAATGTTTTTTCTCTCAGACCCACTGCGG